TTTTCGTAATTTGAAATCTTTCATTTTTTCTATAAAAAAATTCGATGCAAAGTCACCACTCATTCATGTCGGTCTGCTAGCGCAGATCTTATCTCCCTTTCTCTCATCTTATAACACGTATAATATTATATATGCCGGCTACGTCGCGCAGGCGTGTCTGTGATCGGCGTTTATGCGTATAAATCACTTTCCCAAATATCAGTTTGTTGTGCTTGAAGGAGAGCAATTTGTCCTTCCAAATGAAATCTGTATTCACTCCTCTCGCAAAACCGTATTTTCCATAAAACCGAGAAAACAGATCGAAAAATAAAAGCGAAGAAAAAAAAGTATCAACGTGATTGACGTTCTCCGTTTCGTTTTCTTTTCTTTTTTCTTTCACACAATCGGGACCGATTGCAATTGACGGATTGCACAGAAAACGGTAAAAATACGCAAACTCGGGAACGTCGGCTCGAAGGGACGAGATCGAGATCAGATGCAACCGAGTTAACGCAACTTGAACTCGCGGGGGCGACGCGTGGAGCAATGAACGCGTTCTCGGCGCGCTGCTCCCATCGTGTACATAAAAAACCGAACTGCGCCTAATTGTATCTATGTAATTATTTATGTGTACATTGTACTCGGATTGCGCGTTACGCGTTACGATCCACCATCGGCCGAATAAAACGAAACGGCGGAGTATTATGCACGGGTGGATCGCAATCTCTTTCCCCCCCCCCCCCCCTCTCTCTCTCTCTCTCACTCACTCACTCACTCACTCACTCACCTGCCCCATTTCGCTTGTAATTGTCGACGAATGTAATAAAAAAGAGAAACTCTGAGCTCTTGGTCGATTTGTTGAACGTAGATGGAAATCTATATTTCGTTTCTTCGAAGATCTATCGCTTTGAGCGATATGAGAGATATCCGATAAGCATACGTTATTCTATAGTATCGTATTGTATCAATGAGATATATATTGCTGTTATTAATATTAATAGATTAAAATATTAGTAGAATACTTTACAATTAAGTCAGTTAGATCTCTTTGAATGTGCCCTTTCTATAAAAAAAAAAACGCATCAATAAAACTATTATTAATTAATTATTAATATAAATATATAATTATTAATATAGTTGGAATTATTATAATATTAATATCTTTGATATCATATATATAGCAGTAAGACATTCTGAAATCAATCTAAATGTATTCAGGATCTTCTGTGAGACTCCTTAGGATATTCTGAACACATTCGGAATAATTCTGGAACGCCTATGTCCGGATTATTAATGTTATATTAATAACATTACACGTAGAGGTTTTTATTCATGAAGGAACCCCTTTGTCCCTAAATATCGTTTCATCTGTTTTATTCTCCTGTTACCACGTTCTATGAAAAAAATGGTAAATAGGTAAGCAAAAACTTTCCATGGGAGATCTTGAAAATCGATCATTTTAAATTTAAATCAATACTTCCGTCATACTTCAGAGTAGCTATTCACTTGTTTATCAGAAGAGTGAAAGGCTCTATTAGACCCACGTGCAAGTGGATTAACGATATTTAGAGGTCTGTTCCTTTTCACTGCATCACTGAACTAATGCAATAAGTCGAAGCGAGACAAGTATATGTTTTCTTACTTCAACTTTATTGCACTAGTTCAGCGGTGCAGCGAAAACGAACAGACTTATTATTAGAACATAATTTCAAAGTAGCAATATAATAATGCTAACGTGACGATATAACATCTAGGAAATATGAAATACTTTTAGTGAAACGCAAAAAATACAATTGACCGATTTTGATAATTGAAGCGTCTAGTGACTCCTGTTCCGGTCCCGCCAATATTCTTCGCGAGTTCTCAATCTTCTTCCGTGACTCCTCTGGTTGCCTCTAATCTTGTTCCTAACCTCAATCGCATTCAGAGTTATTGGCGCGCACGTCCGTGTAAGTTTAGCGCGTGATCCGTACGTGGCCTTGCCAGCCGATTCAGCATAATAATTTTGTAATTTTCACTGAAACCTGCTCCGATTTATCGTCGAGAGGTAAGTTAAACGTCTCACGCTGAGATGTACAAAGATATCTTGCATGGCCAAGTTATGTTTCACTTAACTCTTATTGGAGTTATGGATGGTTAACCTAACCTGAGATGGAAATTCGTGAAAGACGCAATTTACTCCGTGTGTGATCATAGTTTTTTTTATGAAGAGTTTTCATCGTGATATGTTTTGCATTACAATTGGAAATTATGAGTTTGTGAAACGTTATTTGTATTTTCAGGATTTAAGTGCATGCTGGTTCATGTATTAGCTATCTGCATTCGCTCATTCCTTCAGTTTTAAAACATCTGTTTTAAAATGAAGACTATATCGATGCCCAAGAAAGGGAAAAAACGACTTCTTCGAGAGATTTCCCCTCCTTCAAAGCCAAACCAGAAGTCAAAAAACGTAGTTGAATCCAAAAAGAAACATAAAAAGGGTAAAATTGATAATACTGTACAGAATGGAGACCCTGTGTTACAAACTAATGTACAAGTCTCTGAGAGGGTAAATAAGAGAAGGCAAAGAAAGAAATCGAAGAAAGTAAAGGGACAAAATGATAACAACGTTGAAATGTTGTCGAAAGCAAAAATAAAGGCAAATATAGCCGAGAAAGCTGAATCAACGGTTGTTGAGTCCCAGAAGAAAATTACTGATGAAAAGAAGGAGAAGAAGTTGGAGCATTTGAAGAATAAGCAATTAATTCGTGGGATGAACAAAACTACGATTAAGAAAGGACGATACAAACTAATACCGGGTCATATGAAAGTTCCCCTTGATCTAGATAGAATGAAAGAGACACTGGCTAAACTCAGGAGTGGGAAAGATTTATCAAAGACGGCGAAAAAGAGAATAGGTGTACTACTTCGAAAGATTGCAGTGGCGGAGGCAGAGAATAAGTCTAAGAAATTAAGTACCATAGAGGAGGATAACGACAACCAGCATCAAGTGAAGAAGTCTTTAAAGAACAAGCAGAAAGCTAAACCCATGGACAAGAAAAAAACAAGGAAGGGGGAACGTCGCAGAAATAGAAAAGCTAATATTGAGATAGAACAGAATAATCAAAATGACAATGATGAGAACGACGAAGATCAAAGCGACACAGATGAAAACGACGAAGACATGGAGAAGGAAGATGAAGCTACGGACTTCGGACAAACAGAAGTCGATGTTGAAAGTGTCGAAGATGATAGTGACCAAAGAGACGACGATGAAACAGCTATTGTAGAAGCTAAGAAGAAAAAAGAGGTAACACATGTCGATGAATCCTCGGGTGCTCCGATAAAGAAGAACAGAAAAAAGAAACGATACGTCCTTCTTGTGGGAAACTTGCCACATGAGTAAGGATATTTGTCATACTTCTATTTCTCGATTTTTTTTTTGTAGTAATGTTGATGTGTTGTAACAATATTTGATTGACAGTATAACGACGAACCAACTGAAGCAACACTTCCTGACTAAAGTTAGCAAAATAACTAACATCAAGATTAACCAACACACAAAGGCAAAGGGCTTTGCGCGCGTGGTAGTGTCGAACAGTGCAGATTACGAGGTAGGCGACATTGTTTTCTTTATTATTTTATTTTTTTCCATCTTTTTTGGACTGTTTCATTGTAATTCGACTTTCGATGCAATTTTAACAGAAAGGACTCTCGCTGAATCATACATTGCTGAGGAAAAAGAGGATAAGTGTGCAATTTACATCGCCAAAGAACTTGAAAAAAGTAGACATTGTTGCTAAAAATAAGAAGCTGGAAGCGCTTCGCAAAACTGAGAAATTGGCCAACGTCAGAGAGAAGAAGAAATTATTGAAAAAGGGAAAACAAAAGTTCACGGGATTATAGGGTTAATGGAGAAGCGCACTGTGTGCGAAATTATTTGTTTTTCAGAGAAAAATTCTTATTTTACTTTAAATATTTTTAATATTGTGAATGCCATTTACCGGGAATTATCGGGAAAGTGCTTTAGCAAACGCAAAGTTCTCACATGATGACATAAATAGGACTGTCTCTCATGTGAATATACTTTATCGATTATGACTGTTTTTTTTTGTTCTCTAGATGTGCTCAATGATAAATATATTGCTATATATTACTATATTGCTACATATCAGTTATATATTACTGATTGATTTCTCCCTAATGGGGATTCTTCTCTCATGTAAATATTTTAATTGGCCGCCGATACGGCTCTTCAAAGTGTATGTATGTGTATGTTCCACAGCATTGTATTCATAAAACAAACGAACGCGACGCATTTGCACTCTCATTCAGCGCGGACTCGTGACATTTATCGTATTGCGAGAAAATACGCTCCTACGCTACGAACGAGTCGTCATTTTTAGCTTCGTACTATTCTCTCTTCGCGACATCAGTAATGCATAATTCCGTATAAAGAGAGAACTCTCAGCTCTACACAGTATGTGTATATGTATGTGTGTGTATGTGGTAGACAGAACTTTATGCAAAATAATCTGTGGTTTATATATATACAAACGAGAACGCGATGCGTGCGATAATATGTTCGAGATTGCTGTCACTTCGCGAGATTAAATCGAAATCTGCTTGTTAAATACTTAAGACGAGCATGGGAGACGATACGTGCGAACTAGGGACGAACGATGCTTCTAACGAGGATTCACGATCGACTAAATCTATAAAGGTACATACTTTTATATGCCTTTGTGTACGTTATTCTTAGTATACTATATTAAGGATTAATATCGACCCCCGAAACATGTATTAGCCTTTGGAATGTACGTGTACACGCGTCATAAATATCTCATCACACTTGCCGATCACAATCTTCAACCATTGTTTGCATCGTAAATGATCCAATTGCTCGTAATCTCTTATATGTGCGACTTTTGCACAGGAACTGTTCTCCGAACGTATCATATGCCCGGAAGAACTAAACGAATTCTTACAAGGTCGTATTCATGTAAGTACAATTTTAATATAGACAGTACGTGTATAAAACGAGAAATAAAAATATTCTTTAAAGTAAAAATATCCCCTTGAGTTCAACAACTTTCCGTCTTTCTTATTAAATTCCTTATAAACATATATATCGCATAGGGAGGATCATGATGTCGTTATATAAAGAATGAAGAATTCTTGTTTTAATGTCTTAGATGTAATTTCTGAAGTAATCGACACAACTGTGTGTTATCCTAATTTCCTATTATACTTAGAGTTTACTTCCTCTATAGTATATTTTAAAACTTTCCAAACTTTTCCATACATACATAGTATCACAATAAAGTTAATTAAAGATTAAAAAACATGCGAATACGCATAAATTATTCTTATAATATATACAAGCATACAATTTACTTATGAGTATGTGAAGTGTGACGTATGGCAAACAGTATTTATTTCGTTTATGTCAGTATTTGAATTTAATGATTAGCTCATCGCCATGTTCATAGATAATACTTGTGTAACAGGACTTAACAACGGAGAATGAATGTTTGCGACGAGCATTCGAACAAGCGGAGGAAAGGTCACGACAATTGTCGGAGGAGAAACTCGATTCGCAAAACACAATAGAGATAGGAAAAGAGTCGGCCGCGAATAAATTAAGCGAACTTGGCAAAAAGTACAGAAACCAAACCGCCGAGATGGAGATATTGAAGGTGAAATGTGAGAATCTACAGGCTACTCTGTCCGTCAAAGAAGACGAGTTGAAGCGTCAAAGAGCAGAATTACGACAGATTGTCAAGTGCGAAGGATGCAAGGATTCCAGCGGTGGTTAGTTTCTGTATTTTTTCCCCATTTTGTAAACATAACGAGACAAATTGCATATCTCTCTTTGTTATAGACGTAAATTTTTGTTGCTGTCGATTAAATTTATTTAGAAAACAATCCTGAAGAAATATGAGAATGCTAAACGAGATGTCTGATAACAGAGATTAACTATATCGGTCCTTTTCTTCCTCTTTCAGCAGTCAATCATTTAAATATTCACTTATTGAGAGCTTTTTATTCACTTTTTACAAATAACTGACTTATAATGTTACGTACAACTGTGTTATCGAAGAGAATAGAAGTCAGGATAATGGAGAAGAGAAAGATTCGGGGAACAGTTCGAGCAAAAGTGACAACGAGCGAATAAAGTGCTTGAAAAATAAGCTGCAGTGGACTCAAATAAGACTTTGCGAATCGAGAAACACGTGTGCCGCTCTTCGGCAAGAGATTAAGAAGGCTCAGAAGGTATTCATGTTCTTGCTGCTGTATAAGCTCGATCGTTTGAAAATATATACTCAACACGACGAACAAGCCTGATCGACTCTTTAAATCCTTTTCTCCGTCTGATGGACAATGTGGACTAAGAATACAAGTATCAGTTATTGTGTAGCGAGGTGGGCGAAAACGTCAGTGTCACCGCGTTCTCGAGCGTACCGGGCGGTTGGCGCGGACGAGCTGAGCAAATCCGAAATCTGCAGCAGAAAGTGGCAGAATTGCAGACCAAATTGTCGGAACACGACAAATGCCAGAAAGGATCTTCCTCCGGTAGGTCGAAGAGCTGTAAGACCTTATTTCTGTTCCTTCTTCTTTTTTCATTTTGTTTCGCTTTTCCCGTCCGCATAGTTTTGGTACACCCCGAGTATTTTATTTCCTCGATAGCTGCCAGGATTCCTGGTGGGCGTCTTCCATTACGCCAACTGGGAAGGCGCTTAATGGGAATTAGAAACAACCCCCACGCAGGCTTCATCTATGTTTATCAGAATGATTCTTCACAATTACTGCGTTATTTTTATCATGTGAATTATCTCACACCTTGTTACGTTGTTTTATATCAAACTTACTTTCATGTATATTTGGCTAATCAGTAAGCAGAAACTATTAAATCAATATTTTGAAATATTGATGTGCTGATATTTTGAAAATCTTATGTGGATTTTATAAACATTTTGGTATCAAATTCCATAAATGTTCTTAAATTGTACTTGTGAAAATATTCTTAAATATTAAAATGTAGAATATTATTTTTAATGTTTGGATAAAATATTGTTAACGATAATATATTACGTATACAATATTAAGAAATATATATTTAAAGATGTTATATGTTATAAAATATCATTGTAATAACGTTGTATTAATAATTTCTTGCTTACTGGTTGTTATTCGCAGCAATCATTTACATGCGTTTTCCAGGAAACAATTAATTTATCTTATCGTTAACAAGATCATTTAGCGTCCGTAGATCGACAAAACTTGGCTAATTTCCGTATTGCTGAGAAAGAAAGACGGCAGCAGATTGAAAATACGGCGAGGGAACTCAGACAAGCGGAAGTAGCGTTGGAGACCTCGAAGAGAAAGCTCGATGCTTCTAAAGCGAGAATAAAAGTATTGGAGCACGAGTTGGATGTCGCGAGGACTAATATCGTAATGCTGAATGAGAAAAGGTCTCATGACGGCTGTGTCATCGAGGCGCTGAATGTTAGTAATCGACCAAAAAAAACATTAAGCCCACGAAAAAATCTTATACGTGTATCATTGAAAGGCAAAACCTATTAATTATAGCGATATTATAACATTTCTTCGCAAATGCACTTTAATGATATCGTAATGCCACTCACGAAACGAAAGGTATTGGCGCGATCGAGCGAATAAAGAATCAATTGCAGACACATGTCTATTCGATATTGTGACAAATGTGTCTATAAATGGCACATGGTGCGTCGTGAACATTCCGACCTCGATCCATCGGAATGATGTCGCGTTTCTAGGAGCGACTGAACATCGCTAAGGCGAGGTGTCAAGAGTGCGAAGCGGAGGTGCGGAACAAGGAACATAGGATCGAACGTGAGAATGCGAATATCAAGAATGAATTGCAAGCGACGCAACTGCTCGTCGATCGATTACGCAAGAGATTAGAGGAACGCGAGATCGAAATTGACAAGATGAGGTTGGTGCGAACAAATCCTCCGTGTAATGTTGCAATAATTTCGGATATTAATATACCGGGACGAGCGAGACAACGTTCAACCGTCCAAAACAAGGGGACAACTCGGGAACTATTAATCTTTTACTGTACAATTTTAGGAACGACATCACGCTGGATGAATCTTTGAAGTGTCGTCCCTCCCTTCGTTCAGACTTTCGGTCTTCCGAAGGGCATCAGGTCAGCCCATTCGTTAGTCCGCGAAGTTTGAGTGAACCCAACGAATATGTGACCTTAGCTTTAGCTGCCGAAGCCGAACGGGTGAGACTCCTAGAATTGGTAACTTTGCTGAATCAACGTTTAGACAAGGAGAGGAACGAGATAATCTCCTTTGAGGTAAAGGATAATTTTAGCACTGTGTTTGCGCTAAGACATTTTTTAACAGTTAATTCGATGAAAATACATTCACAAAAATTGTGGAAATATATAAAATTAATTTGAAATACAGTAAAACAATGAGCCAATTTGTTAACTTTGATGATGAACATTTGAGCGACAATAATTATCGCTTAACTAATGTTGAGCTGATGTTGAAAGTGGTTTGAAATTATATAAAGAAACCTCAAAGATTCGTACGGAACTTTTCGTTCTGGTTATTCGTTTCAAGGAATCTCTGCGTAATGAAAGAAAGAAATGTGCGAAATTGGAATCAAAATTGCGGGAATTGGAGAAGGAGAGGGTCGGACTTGTCAAGGTGGACTCCGGATACAGAGCGAAATTCCGCGCGAGGTCCACGTCGAATCTACGAGTGGACGAAGAGGCCACCGGCTCCGAGAAAGTTCGCTTCAGGTAAATTTACGTCAAGTGTGACGAAAGATGTTCCAAATCTTACTGTGTCACATCGACACTGTTCCCTTCGGCGGAGAGACCCGTTTGATTACCGTGGCTTCTCGTGATCCGAAATATCGCGCTGATAATGTCGCCGAGGAGTTTTTTCACTTTTCCTCCATGTTTCCTTCGAACACGGAACACCACCGTGTTCACGGGAAAGCGTCGCCCACTTTTCACCCGTTTCATCCGTTTTATCTTTACGTTTCACGTAGAATCGAATTGCTGGAAGAGGAGTGTCTCACGCTTAAGGCCAGATTAGATACGGTGCGGCAGGACAAAGCCAACGATCTCGCCGTGTACAAGCGAATGCTCGATCAGGCTAGAAAGACTTTCAAAGATGCGTGCAGGTGGGTCGAAAGCTGAATCTCCCGTATACGCGAGCGAAATCTAAATTCTGTTCAGTAACCCTGCAGGTGTTGAGATGCGCATGTATGCCTTTACAATTACAAAGTACAATTGGCTAATCTCGCGTGATGCCGCTTTCCAATACGGCCTTCTGGAAATAGACTCTTCGTGTAAGAGGCGCGAACGACCGAGCCATCTATTTTTACGTATTCGCAGTACAACGGTGGCTGCGATGTTACTTCGAGGAGAGATGTGTGTGCACACGCAATGTGTAAAAATATATATACTCCTGTTAAAATTTTCCGCCACAATACGTGTCGCAATTGCGGGCTTCGCTGATTTTCTAGGAATCCTCCGCCGTTAATTCCAGACTTCTTCATTAGTCGCTTCAAGATCAAGCCTCTTTATCGGAGAAGCGTAACGCGTTCCGATCTTTAACGATATGATATCGAGAAACCTAATTAACGATCGTCTCTCTCATTATCTCCTCCCTCATCGTCGGAATTAATTATCTCTGCCTAGGAACAAGCCGCTGGCGGCCGGTGGGAGTCGTTCCACGATAACTATTTAACGTGACAAGAAGGAGGGAGGGATAAAGGAAGAGGAAACCCGCGCGCCAGTCTTCGGGAAGCGTAAAAGCAACGTTTAATTCGACGCGTGCCCGCGTTCGTGAAGCAGCGGGCCGATTTAAACGACGATCGGCGAGCGCGCCGTTTTCGACGACGAAATAAAATCGTTTTCACGAACGGGCGAACGGGGCCAGCCGCGATCGGAGTGGATGTAGCAGCAACAAAGCGGCGTGATGATGTAACTAGGACACGAGAGATAAGGTGCAACGCCTCCACGTAAACCCGCGTGACACCGCCGGAGCAAAACTCGTCGTTTCGCTTCCACCTCGCGTCGTCGTCGTCGTTGTCGTCGTCGTCGTTCTCTTAACACCGCCGATGTTTGCTCGGCCAACTCTGTCGTTTGCTCTCGCCATTGATATCGCACCGGCGGCATCGCGGCGGCCGTAAATTCATCCCGTTCTCTTCTTCGTTCCCTTCGATGTTACAGCCGAGTACAGCGAGACGAATCCTCGAGCGTGTCGCGCTCGAATCTACCGAACGTTCGAGAGATCCTGGCGATTGGATTCGCGAATCACGAAATAGTGTGTTGAAAAGACGTCTCGTATGAATCCCTTTTTTTTCATATATAAAGTCGCGTAATTGTATTATTTTCGCAGAGCGTAATTTCGCATGTTGCTATGCTCTCGCTCTTTTGTGTGCGCGAGTAAAGAAGTAAACCAAGTTGTCCAAGTTCAAGTGGTCGATTGTAACAGAACGAAAATCAATGTATACTTTTGATTTGTACGCTTTTATCTCGGCTTTTGCTTCCCCAAATTGATGAAACATTCGATCCGTGTATCCTCGATTTACACGGCAGCGTATTATGCGCGAGTGTGCGTGTATATGTGTCTTGAAAACCAAATTATACGCAAATAGGGAACCACGGTGAAGTTATCGATGTCCTAGTTGGCGTTAACAAAGCAACAATCCCTTTGTACCGGAGCTGTTTTACAAGATGTTCCATATTATCGCGGATACACATCCGCCAAGTATGCTACTGCTCAAAGAACCTCCGACTGGTGACAACCGTAGACTTCATTGTCCTTTATAGTCCTTTTTCTTTCTTCTTGTAAAAAGTATTCCAATAAAATTTCCGTGTAGAAATAACAGATATAATAAAGTGCGAACGTGTATAAGACAAAACGATTATGTAACTTCTCATTGTATATGAGAGAAAGAATGAGGTTTATTTAACTGATAATGAGACCCGTTCACAATACGAGCTGACGAAAGTGAGCAGAACTTCACCAATGTTATCATATTTATTATGTTACATTTGCAGATCGAGTCCTAAAAAGATTCTCGTCCGAGGTGGAATTAAAAATTCCGACGAACAAGTAATATAATTTTACTCGAATTACCGGAAGTTACTGTGTCGCATAACACGATTTGTCACTGTCCTTATCGAAAGCGCTCTTCTAGAGCGACTAGCCAAGTTCTACAGGTGCATATTTGTCAAACGCACACATGCATTTTTTCCTCGTTCGAACTGAACATCGGAGAGAAAGAGAGAGAAAGAGAGAGAGAGAGAGAGAGACAGAAAGACCGTAGTCAGGAATTATGAAATTAATAAATTAGGTGTCTGCAATTAGAACTACGACACTTGGAGACTCAAGCAACGAAGGTGACATCCGAAGAGTCGCTAACGCGACCACCGAATGCCGCGACTAACCGGATACCGGATGCAGCGTGGACGATCTCGCGGGTACCCCGAAAACTTCCGTCGTCATCGTCGTTGTTGTCGACTCGGTTGTCGTCGTCGTCGTCGTTAAGCGAGCTGGGCGTGTTTCCGACGGCGCTTAAGCTCGCCGACAGGTGTGGGCTTTACAGGTGTTGGGTCTCCTGGCTGATAAGAAACGCGCCCGTGACGTCAGATCGGCGCGGGTAGAGTATATGAGTCGACGCCGTGGGACGTCCACGTCACTCGTTCTTGAACCTCCTCGTCCGTTCATTCCGTCAAGTAGTTCGCCGTGAATTTTACCGTATCGCCGGTCGCGATCAGCGTCCTGCTATCGTCGGGATCGTCGTTGGTCTGCCCGACCGGCCGGAAGCGGGGATCTGCCCCGCGGCGCGAATTTCTCCGCGGCTCGATCGGATTTCCGCAGGTAAGCCAGCAGATGGGTCGCGGCGATGACGTCCATCGCTCATCGGGATCACACCTGGAAACTGGCGGCTTCGTCGGAGCGAGTGAGCCACTATTCGAAAATTGGACGTCGAATGTGACTGGACGACGCGAAATTCTCGAAAATTCCCGATCCTTTTGGTTGTGGACCCCGCGGGGTCGTTCTTTGGGTGTTCTTTAGATTTATCGTGTGCTGTTCGGAATTTGGGAATTTAGCTTTGTGTGGTTAAAAGTTGGTCGGCACGATAAAACGGGGCCGTATCTTCGGTTTTCCCTCGAGTCCCTTACACGATCGGTGATCTTTCTCCTTATCTCCCCTTTTCTCTCTCTCTCTCTCTCTTTGTCTTTCTTTTTTTGAAAATGGATTTTCCCACACATTCGCTCGCACTCGTTCGTCTTTTCACATGCAAATTCAACGGAACAATTGCGCGCTTGGGGCAATACGAAATGTACGCTCCGCTTTCATTACGTAACGCACAGTCGCGAGGCGGCCGTCGCTACTCATCGGCTATGGAGATGATAATTCCGGGATCTACACACACGTCAACCCTAATGATGCCAAAGGTATTTTTTTCGCGGAGAATAAACCGAGAACCGTTTAATTTCGCGACTCGATACCGCGAATACGAGGAAACGCGCGTCAAGCTAATTATCGTCTTCCTATCATAGCGTTCCGAAAACCGGAGAACATTTACGCGTGACTTGACTTGCCACACCATCAAACCATCCAATTGATCTACATTATTCGATTCGGACATTCGATTTGTCGTCTTAAGAATTCACGGACGGGCTTTCGAGAGATCTGTCGAGACAATTTCATGTTATATCCAAATGTCGGACACAGATTGTTATTTTTCTGATTCTTTGATTTCGCACTTTTTAAAATCCTTTTTGCATTTTCCCTTGAATTATGTTTATCCTTTTTGCGGTGCTTTAGGCGCAATTGAGGATACCGTTTACCAATAATAGCAATAATAGAGACAAATTGACTCAAACCTGACAGAAGATAATTAACATAATTACCGATAATATCTGTAACCGAAAACATAATTAAATCTCGCTCGACAATTACAATTTATATTTGATTTCGTTGGAGTTCACTCGACGATAAATTTACTTATCATTCTTTCTTCTCTTTATCTGTACTATTATTATTAACATATGTTAATTACTAAACTATTATTCATTCGAAACTAATAAACGTGATGTATATATCATCCAGATGAAATCATGAATCACACAACAATAATTATGTGTAATACGTGTGTCACAGAACAAAAATAATATTTTATAATATCGTCCTGATATAATATAATAATATAATATTTTATAATGTCCTGTAATGAGTCCTGACGTATTTTTGTTATGCGCGTCGCACCAACATATATTATAGCATTCTGTTTCTACGCAACATGAATCGTGTTGGATATTGTTTATATCGATAAACAAAAAAAGTGTGGGAATTAATACATTAATATAAGAATCGTTCATTTTTTCGTGTCTATTTTAAAAAATATATCGATCCCATTTTGCAACTACTGTATTATTTTTGGTCCTTTGAGATATTTGCTTTACGTTATATATACAATATTGTGTCAAAATTAACAACATATTACTACAGAATAGCTCGGACGTATTAATATAAAAGTATAACAGCATAGCAGAACGTTGCTTGTGGGGGCTGATATTTATTTAAAGTGCGTTGATCATTGATCTTCTACAGCGAATCGTTCCGGCTTAATGACTCGTTAATGTTCGTCGACGTAATGATGAGATAAACGACGTAATATATAAAATTTAACGAGCGAATATACATATATCGCGTAATTCGTACTATTAATGAATCGAGGCTATGATCGATCGAAAAGAATAACGCAAATATGAATTTCTCCAAGTCGAAACATTTTCAAATTTAACAGAGCAAATTTTCCTTCCAAAAACTCCGCATGAGATATACACGCTTTACATAAAAAGATAATTAATAATACGTCATAAATTGGTTATAATTTAACCGCGGTGTAAAAAGCTCGGTGATTTATCTTTTCTTTTTTTAATAAGTTATGATAGCTGAAGGAAAATAATAGATGAAGGAAAGTAATATGCATGTACGTATTTATCATGCTAAAGAATATTTTCATTCAGTTTATTACACACGATATCGTTTAATAACTCCATCAGCTCGAATATGGAAAGTAATTTCAATCCTTGCCATTGACTGATGCTTTTAGTGAAAATATTTTAATTAAACGACTCGTCCTAAAATAATGAAGCTGCGTGCGTGGCAATTCAAATTTATGCAAAATCGCAAATACGTTCGTCCATATTTTCCTTTATGATCGTGAGTTTTTGTGTGAAGTAAACGTTGAAAATTACATTAATAACTTTCTATGTATATAATTTACGAAGCACAACATTGCTGCTTATTTTTAATATAATAATACGATATATATCGCATAAATATACCGCATTACCGTAACATTTAAATACATTTACAATTCGAATTTATTTGTAACAACGGAAAGGAAGCACAAAATATATTGCGTGAAGCATGAATAATCCTTGAAAACGAATTGTTTTTCACTTATAAAGATACGAGGAACATCGCAAGGACGTGATAACGAAATCGACTTTCGGTACTAACGTTCTCGATACTCTGCAATAGACATATATCTTCCTGAGCGAGATAAGGAAATAATGAATTGAAATAAAACCAATAATTCATCAGTGAACTGGAAGAAATGGGCTTTTCACGAAAGAACCAGCAAGACTTACACGACACATTCGCATTATTTCTATTTTTACAGAGAAAAAAGAGAGAGGTTTCGTTTTAAAGCGAAACAAAATGCAAAAAACATGATATTTTCGTAACGATTCTTAAGAAGCGTTTTAGCAATTTTTGGCATATTAATATTTGGTAATATTCATTTTTACATTTATATTTTTTATTAACGGAATATAATTCTTATAATATACGATAGAGAAAACAAAGAAAAAATAACAGAGAAAAAAAAAGAAAAATTAAAAATTAAAAAAAGAAGAATATCAAGAGAATTCAATTAACCACTACTAAAATCATATTTCATTGGTCAATTCATTTCATTATTAATAATAAAGAATATTTCAACAATATTTGGGTCACTCGATCATATATTTTTCTCTACGACGAAACACATGACACATATGTACGATCAAGCTGTTAAGACTCTGCGTATATTATTTCCAGTTCCATCAACACTTAAAACATAATATCTTAATTAATAGATTAATCACTCTTTATTTCGGAGTCTTACGAATCACGTATTGTAACGCGAATTTCGCAAGTAGAATAAGCGCAACGCAATTCATGCCGCGTCGAGTCGCGCGTGTTTTTTTACGTTCGCTTTATTTCATTTTATCTCATAGCCGAACGATTTTACGGCAGTCCTTGCGAACCTCCTCGAAATAATTCGCGAAGATAAAATTTTTTACCTCCTACCGTTCGCGTAAATGGATCGGTTATAAACTCGAATGATATTGTTACATGTCACAGCGAAAGATTTCAGCGGTGATCGCTCTGATTCCATCACAGAAACGTTTCGACGATATCGAGAGCGATATATGAGACGGTATAACGCGGACCAATCGCTCTCGCTCCTTAATCAACACAGGTGTTGGATCCGTTATGCTTAATACGTAATAATTAACGCCCAGGAATCACAGACCACGGCCATGGCTTCACCAATTTTTTTTCCTTTTCCGAGCAAACGTTGCGACAATTTCGCGCACCATAATGGCGGTACGCTTGTCTACCACCGCGAGCGACAAAATGGGAAGAACGAGAGAGAGACAGAGAGAGAGAGAGAGAGAGAAGAAAAAATGCGCCGTGCGCGGACGGACTAAAATCGATTACGTAATACGAGCGTATAGACTGACAGAGGAAGAGACGTGCAGCCACTTGTAAATTAACGCGGTTGTAATTAATGCAAGCTGCTGGCAACCCGTGAGTAGAGCGCGCGTCCC